TGTTGTTGGAGCCCCTGGAACTAGAGTTACGGATGGTTGTTATCCACCATATGGGTGCTGGGAACCAAACCCAGGTCCTCTGTAAGAGCAGCCAGGGCTCTTAACTGCTGGGTTATCTCTCCAGCCTCTAGAATCCCCTTTTCTTCCTTTCTGGGTTATAGTTTTTCTTCCAGGGCTTAGACTGGGATAAACTGCATTTTGATTGGGTGGTCCATGGTTTGTGTTTTCTTGCAGAGGTGCTCAGCACAGTGGATTTTGTTGCTCCTGATGACCGAGTAGTCTTCCGCACTTGTGAAAGAGAACAGAGCAGATTGGTCTTCCAAATGGTAAGAGATTTTTAGTGTCTAGTCCTTCTGAGGCTCCCTGTTCCTGGGAGTTCCTAATTCCTGCTTATACCACCCAGTGTTAAATGTATGCTTTCTTCTGCACAGTGGTGGCTTCCTGTAGACTTGGTTTGAACATCTTTGAAAAATTTATTCATGATTGGTTATATTGTTGGAGACTGGATATGAAACCGTTGCAGTCTATTCCATGCCTCCAGTCTCAAATTTACTTAATTATAGGAATTGTCTTTTTGGTATCACTGATATATTTATTTCTTAAATCCCTAGTATTATTTATTTAGGCCAGGGTGTTTGTTTTTGTGTAGTGTCTATGAAAGACTCTTCTCAAGAAGAGTATTTATGATAGAGATGTAAGGATGCTGTAGCCCTTCTCTTTCTTTGGACATCTCTTGGGACTTTTAAAAATATTTTCATTATTTTTATTTTTGTTTATGAGCCTCATGCATGTAAGTGCACCCATGTCATGCAGTGCCTGCAGACATTAGAAGAAGGTGTTGAATCCCCTGGAACTGGAGTTATAGACCACTGTAAGCTGTAATGTGGGTGCTGGGATTTGAACCCAAGCAAGAGTAGCCAGTGCTCTTAACCGCCGAGCCATCTCTCCAGCCTCTTGGAGCTTTTTAAAGAATAGCTCCTGAATGACATTTAGATGTTTTAGAAATTGGTAACAATGAATAGACATAGGTTAAAGTACATGGCAAAATGTTAATCATAGAATTTGATTGGTGAGGGTCTGGAAAGACTGCTTAGTGGTGAAGAGTATGCTGCTCTTGCAGAGGATCTGGAGTTCACTTTCCCAATACCTGTGTCTAGTGGCTAACAACTGCCTGTGACTCTAGCACCTTTGAATTCAACACTTCTGTGGGCACTTGCCCTTGGCTGCACACAGGCATATACATATACACATATACATAATTAAAAGTAAAATAGGAGCTAGAGAGATGCTTAGCAGTTAAGAGTACTGACTGCTCTTGCGGAGGACCTGGGTTCAGTTCCCAGCATCCACATGGCACCTCACAACCATCCATAGCTACAGTTCTAGGGAATTTGATCCGCTATTCTGGCCCCTGTGGGAATTGCACACAAGTTGTATACCTACATATATGCACACAAAACACTCATACACATAAAATAAAAATAAACACATTTTAAAAAAAGACACACACAAAAAAAGAGTTTGAGTCAGGCATGGTGGCACATGCCTTTAATCCCAGGACTTGGGAGGCAGAGGCAGGTCGATCTTTCTGAGTTCAAGGCCAGCCAGGTCTACATAGTAAGGTCTAGGCCAGCTGGGGCTACAGGGAGACCCTGTCTCAAAAAGACAAATAAATAAATAAATAAAAAGATGTAAATAAATAAATAAATAAAGAGTTTGATGAGGCTAGAGAGATGGCTCAGTGATTAAAATCATTTACTGCTTGTCAGAGGACCCTGGTTCAGTTTCCAGCACCCACATGGTGGCTAACAACTATCCTTAACTCCAGTTCTAGGGGATCTGATTTCTATCCACTTTCTTTATTGAGGCAGGGTCCTTTGCTGAGCCCAGCACTTCCTCATTCGGCTAGTCCAAATAGCTAGCCCCAAGAAGCTGCTGTTTCTGACTCATGACCACTGGACTATAGGCCAGCTGCCACTAAAGCCCTTTATTTATTTGCTTATTTATCTGTGTGTGTGTGTGTGTGTGTGTGGGTGGGTGTGTGTGTGTGTGTGTGGATGCATATGGGTGCTTGTGGTCATCGTGCATGTGTGGAGGTCAGAGAACAATTGTGGAAGCTGGTTCCACCATGTGTGTCCTGGGGATTGAATTCAGGTTGTGATGCCTGGCAGCAAGTGCCTTTACCCGCTGAACTATCTCACTAGCTCCCCCTCCTGTTTTGTTTTGTTTTTCTTTTTGAGACAGGGTCTCCCTGTAGCTCCAGCTGGCCTGGACTCCTTATGGAAACCAAGCTGGCCTGGATCTCAGAGATCTGCCTGCCTTTGTCTCCCAACTGCTGAGATTAAAGGTGTGCACTGCCGTTGCCTGCCCACCTGTTTTTTCTTTTCTTTTTTTTTTTTTTTGAAATAGGGTTTTCCTGTAGCCCCAGCTGGCCTGGAACTCACTATGTAGACCAGGCAGGCCTTGAACTCACAGAGATCTGACTGCTCTGACTCCCAGCATGCCTGGCTCCATCTATTTTTTTTAATGTGGTCCTGGGGATCTGAACTCTGATCCTCACGATTGCTCAGAAAGTGCTTTATCCACTGAGCAGTGTCCACAGCACTTCCTTGTTTTTGTATGTTTGAAAGTAGCCATAACATTAATGAGATTGTCTAAGCCTTCCAAGTCTATATTTGGCAGTGAACAAGCCTTGGGGACTGTGGTGAAGATAAAACTGACCTGACTCTTGTACTTGTTTGCAAACACATATGTATGCATGCATGCGTGCGTGTAAAATACCACTGGGTATGTTTGTCTGTTGTGTTAAGACTGGTTGATACAGCTTTTTATGTTCCCAGGGGACTTCAGATGCAGAGAGAGCCCTTGCTGTGGCCAGGCTTGTGTAAGTTCCTCCCTCCTTGGGAATGCCTTTGTCTTTTCTGTGGGTCTTAATGTCACTGATGACCCACCTTTCTGCCTTACTTTCTGTTTCCAGGTGAAGGGTCTCCTTCGCTGTGGCATCTGAAAGTTGGGACTCATGTACCCACTGTGGTTAGATCCCAGAGATTCTCTGTATGGAGTCCTCATTTTAGAGTTTTATTCATGGGATTCCTTTTCTGGGGATTTTTCTGGGAGTCCTGAGGCTTTAACTCTCATGAAGCATAGATAAGATGCATTCCTTCCTGAGTTAACAGTCAGGAGAATACCGTGGCTACAGGGATGACATTTGGAGTTAAGGCAGATCTGGGTTGGAATTCTGGCTTTGCTACTTACTAACCATGTGCTCTTAACTTACCTAACCTCATTGAGAACTTGCTTCCCTTATTTATAAAATGATGCCAATAGTACTACCAACCTCTGGCATTATAGGGAATGGCAAATGGAAAAATGCATGTCGATGTTTTTGTAGCATGTGGCACATCGTGAGTGCTTTTTTTTTTTTTTTTTTCATCTTTTTTGAGACAGGGTCTCCCTGTAGCCCTAGCTGTCCTGGACCTCACTATGTAGACCAGGCTGGCCTTGAACTCGCAGGGATACCCCTGCCTCTGCCTCCGAAGTGCTGGAACTAAAGGTGTGGGCCACCACACCTGGCTACATTGTGAGTGCTTTGTAAGCTCTTGTTTTTGATGACAGTAAGAGTAAGAAACTTGGGCACTGACTGCTGCATATTGTAGACTGCTAATTATAAGCCAGCAAATGAGGGGTAAAGACCTTTCTATATTGCAGAAGTGTTTGGAGTAAGCCAATTGTGCAGGCCAGCAAATGAAGACAATCTTATAAAAACTACCATGTACTCATCCTCGTCCTCTTTTTTTTCTTTGTTCCTTTGTTTCTTTTTTTTTCTTGAGATAGGGTCTCATGTAGCACAGGTTGGCCTCAAACTTGTGATCCTCCTGAGTCCTGGGATTCCAGGTATGCACACTGGACTCAGTTCACTAACTTACAGAAGATATGGGCTGGCAAAGGGCTCTAGTGCTTTTATTACCCCAGTCAAACTGCAGCTCTAGGATGGAGTTCAGTCACTCAGTATTGAAATATCCAGTACAACTCCAATGTAGTAAAGTCCTTTACATCCAATTCTTTATAGATATATATCTATGTTATATCTTTCTGGAGCTCTGCTCAGATGAGGTAGTTGTGCAGCATTGGGACAGACTTCCATACTGATTGTCAGCTTTTGTCACTGAGAGTTAGTATGGTTCCTAGGCCTAGAATTTGTGAGAAGTTCTGGAGCACAGACCCACAATTACCTCTGACTCTGCTGTCTTCCCTCAGGTGGAATGTTTATTACCTTTTCTTCTTTATGTTTTTCTAGAGAAAATGATGTAGCTGGTATTGATGTCAACATGGGATGTCCAAAAGAATATTCTACTAAGGTAAAATGATTTCTTTATATTCCTTATAAGTCTATTTAGATTAAAGGAGGTTGTGGTGTTTATTTATTTATTTATTTTTCTTTTTGAGACAGGGTCTCCCTGTAGCCCCAACTGGCATGGAACTTACTATGTAGACCAGGCTGGCTTTGAACTCATAGAGATCTGCCTGCTCTGCCTCTGGAGTGCTGGGACTAAATTTGAGTTTCACCACGCCCCGCTCTAGTTTGCTTTTTATTGCTGTGAAAAACACCATGACCAAAGGAACTTGGGAAGGAAAGGGTTTATTTTTTCTAACTCCTCCAAGTGACAGTCTATCACTGAGGGAAGTCAGGACAGGAACTCAAAAGAGCAGGAACCTGGAGGCAGGAACTGAAATGTAGACCACAGAGGAATGCTGCTTGATAGCTTGCTTCCCCTGGCTTGCTCAGCTACTTTTCTTTTCTTTTGGTCTTTTTGAGACAGGGTCTCCCTGTAGTCCCAGCTGACCTAGAACTCAATGTAGACCAGGCTGGCCTTGAACGCTCAGAGATCTACCTGCCTCTCCTCCCAAGTGCTGGGACTAAAGGCTTGTGCCACCAGCCACCATGCCTGGCTCAGCTACTTTTCTTATACAGCCCAGACCCACCCGTCCAGGGATGGTACCACCCTCAGTGGGCTGGGCCTTTCCACATCAGTTAGCAATTAAGAAAATGCTCCCAGACATGGCCACAGGCCAATCAGATGGAAGAAATTCCCAACTGAGGTTCCCTCTTCCCAGGTATATCAAGTTGACAACTGAAGCTAAGCAGCTGAGAGGCTAACAAGGCATAAGAGCTTGATGCTGTGCTGAAGGAGGAAAATGCTCAGGAGGATGTTATCAAGCTGGGTATGGTGGCACACACTTGTAATCTATACTCAAGAGACTAAGGCAGGAAGATTGTGAGTTGGAGACCAGCTGGAGCTACATAGTTCTAGGCCAGCCTGGCCTGCATAGTGATAACCCTTCCTCAAAACAAAAAGTAAAACTAAATATATAAGTAACAAAAACCAAAGAAAAGGGGGGCTGGAGAGATGGCTCAGTGGTTAAGAGCACTGACTGCTCTTGCAGAGGACCTGGGTTCGATTCCCAGCACCCACATGGCAGCTATGAACCATCCTTAACTCCAGTTCCAGGGGAATCTGAAGCCCTCTTCTGATCTCTGTGGCATTGCATGACATGGATGTACTCACATACATGCAGACAATATAGTCATATACATAAAATAAAAATAATAAATAAAATATTATTTAAAAAAGTCTAGCTGGGCGTGGTGACACACGCCTGTAGCCCCAGCACTTGGGAGGCAGAGGCAGGTGGATCTCTGTGAGTTCAAGGCCAGCCTGGTCTACATAGTAAGTTCCAGGATAGCTGGGGCTTACAGGGAGACCCTGCTTCAAAATGACCAAAAAAAACCAAAAAGTCTAAACGTTAGGTCTTTGTAAAAAAAAAAAAAAAAAGAAAAGGATATTATTAGATCAGTAGGCAAAGTTGGAATAAAAGCCTCAAGTTAGCTAAAAATACTGTACCCAGGTAAATTTATGAAGTTGATAATGTTTCTGTGTTTATATATGAGAATGTCCCTATTCTTAGAAAAGGTATGCTGAAGTATTTTAGGGGTAAAATGCTATGATATGTGTAACTTACCTTCTAGCCATGTTTGTGGAAAAAATTTAAACATGCATATATGTATATACCTGAAGAAGCAAATTAAATGTACATATTAGGAGAAACTAGACATGGTGATACACACCTATAATCCTAGCATTTGGGAGGCTGGGAAGATGGCAAGTTTGAAGCCATTCTGAACATAGTGGTGATCTATCTGAAAAACAAAACAAAACAACCAAACAACAAGACACACACACACACACACACACACACACACACACACAGAGTGTAAATAAAAACAGATTTTCAAAGATTCTCCTTAGGGCTGGAGACATGGCTCAGTGGTTAAGAGTACTTGCTCTTCCAGAGCACCTATGTGAGTGAGCTCATAAGCTCATAATTGCCTGTAACTCCAGGGCTAGAGGACCCTGAAGCCTTCCTCCACATGCACTGTGATATGCGTACACACATAAAAAAGAGCTCAACGGGGCGTGATGGCGCACACTTTTAGTCCTAGCACTCTGGCACAGAGGCAGGCGAATCTCTGTGAGTTCAAGGCCAGCCTGGTCTACATAGCGAGTTCCAGGCCAGGTGTGGCTACAGGGAGACCCTGTCTCAGAAAGAAAGAAACAAAAACCCAAATCTCCCTCTATCTCCTGCCCATGATTATTAAAGTAATTATTAGTAGCTAGGTAAGATTGCTTATATCTGTAATCTCAGCACTCAGACTGAGGTAAGAGGATTACCATGAGTTCAAGGCCAGTTTGGGCTACAAAGTACCAGGTCATTCAGGATTACATAGGGGTGTTTCAAAAAAAGGAACAACAAAACACAAAGTAATTCATACTGTTACCTAGTACTTCAGAAATATAAAACATTATGAAAAAAGCAGAAAATTATTGGTGAATAATATCAAGAGACAGCTATTGTTGTTATTGTTGATATTTAAGTTGCTCCATGAGTTGGTAACTTCCATTTTTTTTTTTTTTTTGGTCTTTTTGAGACAGGGTCTCCCTATAGCCCTAGCTGTCCTGGAACTCACTATGTAGACCAGGCTGGCCTTGAACTCATGGAGCTCTGCCTGCCTCTCCCTCCCAAGTGCTGGGATTAAAGGCGTGTGCCACCACACCCAGCTGTAATTTCCATTTTTATCAGAGTTTGTCATAGATCTGAGTCTCCAGGGCCTGGACATTTTTGCTGGCAGAGGACTACTTAAAGCTTTTTGCCTCTGTGTGGCTTTGCTGGTGGCAGTGGCACCAAATAGAGTGTTGCATATAAGAAGAATAAGGTATTTGATCTCATTGTAAAAGGAGGACTCAATTCAGTTTTTTTTTCTGACACAGGGTATTGCTATATACTATAGGCTAGTCTTGAATTCACCACTGTGAAGCCTAGGCTGGTCTCCAGTTATTGATCCTCCTGACTCAACCTCTTGAGGTATGGATTTAGTTTGTTGCAACTTTGAGATCTCTATGGGGAATGTGAACTCTTAAATTTTGCATAAAGTGTCAGGCTATTGGCTTTGACTTGGGAGTCATCAAACTCTGGCTGTTGATGGGGCCTGTGGTGGGCACAGACCATGCTACCTTCCTATGTGGTTAGGAAAATGCCAGTTGCCTGTGGACCTTGGCTACCAGGTTGTCACACTCTGCTATCATACCATGGTTGGGGTCATCTTCTCTCAGCAATAAGAAGGCCTTCTGTGTGCTTTTCCTTAGGGAGGAATGGGAGCTGCTCTGCTTTCAGACCCTGACAAGATTGAGAAGGTAAGTCCTATATAAGCGAAAGTAGAGTCCTTAGACAAGGCTGTAAATTTGAGTTGCTTAAAAATCTCTCTCCCCTATTCTAGATTTACTGAAATCTACCCAGCTTCTCTCTTTGGGGACTGGAAAAAAATTTAAAGTAATTTTGACATGTATGTAGATTTGGGAGTTTTCACCCAGCCTATAGTGACTTTGAATTCTGCAAAAGTCTAGAGCTAGGGACATGTCGTTTGAGAGCCAGAGGGACTGAGAACTCAGGTGGAGCCTCTTCTTTATTGCCTCTTTCCCTTCCAGGATTATCTGAGGGTACAGGCTAGATCCCTTGGGTGACAGCAGGCTCAAAATCTATGTGTGTAGATGGATGGGACTCTCCTAGTGGGCTAGATGAGAGCAGCAGGGTATTCTCTGCATAGTGATCATAGGGAGAGTATACCATAGGCCCTCCTCCCTCTTCCCCTTTTAGAGACAGAGTCTTGCTATGTAGTCCTGGCTAGCTTAGTACTCACTGTACATGTAGGCCAGGTTTACCTTGAACTCTGAGTAATCCTCCTGTCTCCTGAATGCTAGGATTATAGACTTGTCCTACCATGTCAACTTTACTATGCACTAAGAACTGACCAGGCCAGGGTCATATGAGGCAAGCTGAAGTTAGTCTCTGTTTTTCCTTCATCCTTTGGGGATTCTTCAGATAGGCTTAATGAGGCCCTGCAGATAGGTTGGCATTTGACACTGCAGTGCTGTGGGTTGCCTGGACATGTGTGGGTAACAGTCTTGCCATATCCCATGCACACCTTCTACTTTTCTGCTCTGCCAGTTCTTAGCTTACTGTTCTTGGCTCTTTTGCTTTCCTTTTCTCCATCCATGCTTCCCACAGAAATGAATGACTGTGGAGTCAGATCCAGCCAATGAGAGCTGCTATGATGTGTGCTAGCAGTTGCTGCTCAGTACTATATAGGCATCATGCCCAGGGTTCTCTGGGATGTAGGGAGACCACTGTATGTTAGCCAGGCATCTCATTTTTTGCTTGTTCAGCCACAAATATTGTCTCTTTACTCTAAATGTATAATATATACATTTTACCATTTATAGGGTAGTTTCTTAATGCAAATTCTATTATGTATTTCATTTGTTCTCAAAGTCCCTTGAAATAGACATGGTGGGCATTTGCTTTCTCCCTCTTTATTATTTTTATTTTTTTTGTGTATGAGTGTGTTGCCTGTGAGTGCACCTGTATCGTGCAATGCCTGCAGAGGTCAGAAGAAGGTGTCAGGTTGCCTGGAACTGGAGTTATGGATGGTTGCCACTGCCATATGGATACTGGGAATTGAACCCGGGTCCTCTGCAAAAGAAGTTAGTGCTTTTCTTAACTGCTGAGACATCTCTCCAGCCTTTCTTTCTTTCTTTCTTTCTTTCTTTCTTTCTTTCTTTCTTTCTTTCTTTCTTTCTTTCTTTCCTTCCTTCCTTCCTTCCTTCCTTCTCTCTCTCTCTCTCTCTCTCTCTCTCTTTCTTTTTGATATAGTGTCTGCTGGATCAGTTCTTCCATGTTAGCACCACCACACCCACGCACTCTTATCTTTTTTTTTTTGTCTTTTTGAGACAGGGTCTCCCTGTAGCCCCAGCTGAGCTGGAACTTACTATGTAGAACAGGCTGGCCTCAAACTCACAAAGATCTGCCTGACTCTGCCTCCCAAGCCCTGGGACCCATGCCCGGCCCACTGTTATCTTTTTGATAAAGAATAATAAATCAACTAAAAATCCAAATCAAACAGATAAGCAAAAACAAACAAAACCAAAGGAGAAATTCAAACAGACAAAAATAGAGTAATAAACTAATCTGAATATGGTGGCACATAATTATTTGTAATTCCAGCAATCAGGAGAAGGCAGGAGTAATAGGAGTTCAAGGTCAGCTTAGGCTACATAGTTCAAGGCCAGACTGGACTAAGACCCAGTCTCAAAAGACCAAAAACAAACCTGGCAGCACTCAGAAGGGAGAGCAGGCAAATCTCTGTGAGATCGAGGCCAGTCTAGGATACATAGTGAAATCCTGTCTCTGATACCAAGAAGTTGGGAGGGCAGGGTTTACAATGGCATCTTTTTTTTTGAGTGAGGGTCTTATGTATCCCAGGCTGACTTTGAACTGACTATGTAGTCAGGATGACCTAGTTATGTGGTACTAGATATTGAACCCAGGGCTTTCAGCACGGTAGGCAAGCACTCCACCAATTTAGTCTATATCTCCAGCTCCAAATTTTATAATTATACACATACACACTCATACCCATGGGCAATTTAACCTTAATTTTTAAATTTTATTTTATATATATTTTTTGTCTTTGAGACAGGGTCTCCTTGTATCCCCAGCTGTCTTGGAACTCACTATGTAGACCAGGCTGGCCTCGAACTCACAAAGATCAGCCTGCCTCTGCCTCCCAGGTGCTGGGATTAAAGGTGTGCGCCATCACGCCTGGCTTTATTTTATATTTTATTTTATGTTTATGTGTATGTGCGTATTGCCTGCATGTACGTAAGTGCTCCCATGTCGTGCAATGCCCACGGAGGACAGTAGAAGCTGCCAGATCCCCTGGAACTGGAGTTACAGACAGTTCTTAGCTGCCATGTGGGTGCTGGGATTCTATTTGAATCCAGGTCTTCTGCAAGAACAACCAGTGTTCTTAACTGCTGAGCCATCTCCCCAGCCCCCCTCACCCTTTTTTTAACTTTTGAGGATTTTTAGTACAGTCCAGATGAGGAGCCCAGGTTCATTTCAGCTTCTTCCCTGCCAAACTAGGGGGCAAGGACTGCTTCAGTGTCTCTGCCTTCTCCTTGTCTGTGAAGACCATGGTGTAGAGGTACCTGCTACAGTGGACTTTGGTCCTTGATCTTGATGGATTTGGCATCCTTTCTCCTGGCTGTGAGCAGAAAGTCCTTGATTTCTTCAATTTTCTGAGGCATGGCAGGAGTGCTAGGAGCTTGGAGCCACAGATTGCCTTGGATTAACCTCCATTTAAGCCTAATTTAAAAACAAAAGTTATTTTAGCACTTGGGTGGGTGAGGCAGGAGGATCAAAAGTTCAAGGTCAAGGCTAGGGTTGGTGGTGCACACCTTTAATCCTAGCATTTGGGAGTCAGAGGTAGGCTGATCTCTGTGAGATGGAGGCCAGCCTGGGCTACATAGTAAATTCCAGGCCAGCTGGGGTTATAGGAAGATCCTGTCTAAATAAATGAATACAAAACAAAGAAAGAGGGTATAGCTCAGTGGCAGTGTTTGCCCAGCATGCTTGATATCCTGTGTTTAGTTTGCAACACTGAAAAAACAAAACAGAGAAAAGCAAGCAAACAAGAAAAAAAAACAAACCAAAGATATATTTTAGACTCCAGTCCTGTCCCTTCCTACTCCTACCCATGTTTCTCTCTGTACCTTCTGGCTACCCTGCCTTTCCCTTGTGCATGATGCTCATGGGCTATGGCTAACAGTTGACAGGACCAGATCCTGAACTCAGGTGTCACTGATTCCCAAGCCCATGTCTTCTGATCTTACCTGCCGCTTCCCCCAAACCAGGGTAGCTGAAGTTCTGCTTCTCCCCTGGTAGCCAGTGGATCTGGTGAGGCAAACCTACCTGCAGGTGGCTATACTGTTCCTCCCTTTAGATCTGGGCTTTTGTCTCTCTCATTCTTTGCCCTAGATACCTTCCTGGCATAGTGACATATGATGTGATTTGGATTTGAATGGTTGGTGTTCAGAAGAGTTTCACGCTACGGCCTGGCAGCAAGACAGCCCCAGGTTGTCCTTTCCTTGCTAGTGTAATCCTAGCTGGTGGCTAGAGTTTTCAGTTACCTAATTTCCTTTCTGATCCTTAATGTATAGGTGAACAGAAATACTGAAGAAAGTACTTAGAGCTACTTGGATTCTTGTAAGATAGAATGTTGTATCAGAGCAGTTGGCAAAAAAGTCACCAAATCTGAGAGTATTCAGTGTAATACTTTCAGAGATGTTGCTATGAACCAGAGGGGTAGGGATGGACTAAAGTGACTTTTTTTTTTTTTTTTTTTTTTGAGATAGGGTCCCATGTAGTCCAGGTCGGCCTTTTGCTCATTATGTAGTCAAGAATGACTTTGAACTGCCCTTCCTGCTCCTACCTCCCAAGTGCTGGGAGTACAGGGGTGTGCCACTATGCCTAGCTACAGTGAGAATTTTTATTATGGAAAAAAGAGGGGGTACTAGAGAGATGGCTCAATGATTAAAAGCACTTGCTTCTCTTCCCAGATTCAGTTCCCAGCACATACATGGACACTCACAACTGCCTGTAAACTCGAGTTCTAGGGAATTCAACACCCTCTTCTGGCTTCTGCAGGCACCAGGAATGTATATGTTGCACATGCATACATGTAGGAAAAGCATTCATACATATAAAATATAAATCTTTTTTTTTTTTTTTTTTTTTGGCTTTTTGAGACAGGGAAACTCTGTCTCAAAGAAAAAGACCAAAAAAATTAAAAAAAAAAAAAAAAAGATTTTTATTATGTGTCTTCATGTCCCCCCTCTTCAAATCACAAATGCTTCTGTAAGTCATCCCAGAAAGACTCTGGGACATCAGGACTAGTCTGCTGCCTGAGGCAGAACCTGAAGACTGTTCCTGCCTGGCCAGCAAGGGCAGGCCTTGCTCACAACCTGTTCACCAGTCAGCCCATTCTGTTGGTCTGATGTCTTGAGTGGTCAGCCTTAACTTGCCTCTTAAAGATCTGTATTATTGTAACTGGCTCCCTGCTGCCCCCATCTGTCTAGAATCAAAATTGGCAACTGCTGCTTGGGTGTTGGGTGTCACCTCTGCTTGGGTCA